GTCTGTTGAATAAAGGGCATGATCTTTTAGGAAACTTGTTATTTCTGGACTAAGTAGAAGAAGTCAAAGTTGAGAGAATCTAGAGCCAGGCCAGCTAATTAGGTACTCAGAAAAACACAGTCGTATTAAGGTGTCAGTAAATGATTGCTTGAGGTACAAGGTCATCTTGAAAATGTGAAGTTTAGCATTCTTTCAGGGCTCTCATATATTTACATTTGGAGTGCTTTCTCAGCTGCTTAGCAGTCCATTCCTACTCAGCCCCCTGACAGAAATCTACCCTATCAAGCGTGGGTGCCTTGACAGTTTTCACTTTCAGTGTGTGGTCAATGGGCATGCTGCCTTGATCCTAAAGCCTGTGTTGTGAACTTAATAGCAGATACCTTGGTGTTTGTCCCGGGATCGTAGCCCTGCTCTTGTGCTACTCCAAACTCTATACACGAAGTAAGAATTTAGAATAACCGCAATGATGGTTTCATTGCGTACGTACTTACTTTATCTGTAAAGTAATCATGAGTTAATCTAACACCTGCTTGAGCTATCACCAGAACTGTATTTGCTTTTACACTACTTTTCTATTCATATACTCTCCAAAATATCTTATCGACTGTCATGATTGTATGCATTTGTTGTTACAGCAGTGTTCAATATATATACACATACTATGTTTGATTAGTTAAGTAATTTCCCAATAGCGGGTAAAATGGCCCTCTCTTGATTTACCTTTCTCCACATTACATAAAGCTTACCAGAAAGTTAGCAATACTCTGCCTGCATACATGGTGTACCAATCTCTTTTTGAGTGCTTAGCTATGTGGATGTAGGAGTGTGCAATCATTGATTAGGGGGTAAGAAATGACAGCATGCCACTTGCATGGCTAACTGTAATATCAGTTAAGCATTAGCATGTAAAGTTACCACTTAACTGGATCTCATATCTCTCATATTTCCTCTCATCTAGCTCAAAATACAAGGAAATTATATAGTTCTTGGGCCTAAAGTTATCAACAAAACATACAAGGAATAAATCCATTTATAAAAATGGCAATGTGATGGTCATTAGAGGGATAACTAATGCCATTAACATGTCACATGGTGTCAATTATTAACAAAATCCTCGCTGAAGTGCTCTAATGGAAATTCATTTGGAAGGATGAGAAGGAAAGTATTTTGTATCTTTTATATAGGAAAGTAAATGAAATGCCCCAAGGCCAGAGGTAATTTAAATTGTATCAGAAATACATAAAAATGACAGTGTGTTGGTAATATAAAAAGAAGGTTCTGTGTGAAGAAGTTACAGAATTTACAGTGTCTCTTTATTCACTTACATGACATAATAAGGAGTTTATCTTTAGGGTTAATTTGAGAAATAGCTCATAGATTATAATCACATGAACAATATAGTCTCCACCTTTGCTTTAAAAAACAGTTATATGTTACATCCATTAGAATATCCACGATTCTAAAATTTTAATTGGAAATGAAAAGTTAGCCATGTATAATATGCCACTATACTTCCTAATAAAATGAATTCTAATAGCCATTGCTTTAGCCAACTCAAGCTGTTTTATCAAACTTTTTTACTGGGATCTGCTAATAAATAGTGTTGCAAACAGTTTGGGGGACTGGAAACAATTGCCATAGATTTTGGATTTGAAAATGAGGGCCCCTTTTCCAAGTGCATGCTGCTAACCTTTCATAGTGTGCTCAGAGATTAAAAAGAAAACATAAAGCAAAGAAAACCAGCCTGTCTCATCCTACTGTATGTTCCTCTCTACTGCTGGGATTAAAGTGTGCACCACCACTGCCCAGTCTCTATGGTTCACGAGCGTAGCTTCTGGGTTTAAAGATGTGTGCCACCACTGTCTGGTCTGTATGACTGACAAGTGTGGCTGCTTTGCACTGACTTTCAGGCAAGCTTTATTTATTAAAACACAAATAATATGCCACTATACTTCCTATTTATAGTACAAACTAATGAGGGTGATATCTCTTGGCTAGCATTTATTTAAAAAAAAATGAAAAATTCCATTCTGCAGAGAGAAGCATTGTTTTTGGTTGTGCTTCCAATACGATATATCACTAAATATTGGAAATAAACTGTATCTGAAAGGTAGGAATATATGTGGGTAAGATAACATGGAGAATACAGTTAGGTTGAGATCGTGTAGATCCTTTTGAGGTTTGTGGTTTTCTAGTGACAATGACTAAAATTACTAGAGTGTAAATCAGGTCAATTTTCATTGAAGAACCTTCCTGTTGTTAATGTTTTTAATGCTCTTAAATCCACTTTTTCTAATGACAAAATTAAAATAAAATAAGTAAATTATAACAATTCACCAAGGCCCAGTTTGGCAAATATTTTACATCTTCCATGTTTTGAAATAAGGAATATTTTCAAGCAGTGCATGATTCTTTTATTTTGGCCTCTGCTTCCAAAGGCTATTTAAAAATACGTTTCAAACTTGTCCTATTTTAAGGCAAATTTCCAGTTGAACAGACACAATTTTAGTAATAAAAAGCATAAATACTATGACTTACTGAGCACCGAATTTGCTGTGAGTTTTATATACTCTGTCTTCAGCCTCATGTTGTCCTCAAATGCACATTTGAAGACCATATTCCCTAAGTACCCATAATGTGCATTTGGGCACTGAATATGTACTGAAAAGATTCCAAGGCACAAAATTTATCTCTGGAGACAAATTTGCTTTTATCAGTGATCTAGGAGTATCAGGAGTTTAAATCAAAGTTTAAGGGGTGGGTATATTTCTGTTAGCAGCATATGAGGATGAATGTGTGTATTGCAGGCTGTTAAATGTGATGTATATACATATCTGCCCATATATACATATATATTTATATACAACTATATGTGAACATGTATGATTAATGAAACAGACACAAAAATAGATACCATATTGTTACCATTGGGAACTATTAAGAACCTGGTGTAAGATAGATCTTCAAATATTACTTTGCATAGTTTTTAACAATTTTTTTTGTAGTTTCATAGAAAATTTCCTTCTTGGCTGACAAAATCCTGACGTTAATATATCACTCAAAATAAACTGCCTGTAAGATGGAAAGTCTCATACCTTGCATGCTGTTTTATAACTAAAAAGAATTACCCACTTGTCCTTCATCAGAAAAAGCAGCAATCCATGATAAAGAGTAAAATATTAGAGAATAAACAGAAGAAATATAAAACTTCATTTTTACATTATTTAAAATCACTTGTTTTGGAAAGATTAAAGCATAATTTAAATCATATGTACATTTTCTAAAACATGATATCTTTCATTATGCACTTCATATTTATGTATTTTTATATTTTCTATATTTTAACATAAATCATAGGTTTTCTTATTAATATTTTCTCTTTATTGTTCTTATAAATGAAATTGCCAGTAGCTGAGCACCAAAGTGTAACCTAGCAACAAACCGCTTCCTAGGACATAAGGCATAAATGTGCTGCTATAGAAAATTTACTGGTGCTTAAAATATTTTGCTCATGTATTCTATTAAAGTCTTCTTTTTTAGCAATTGAATTAAAATATTGAATTTCATACTAAGTAATATTATTGACTGCCTCCTTCATTGAGAAAACACCAGAGTCTTTCTCTGATTTCGCCACTGCTAAATAGGTGACTGGATGGCTTTCTCTGGCAGCGTGCTCATTACAGATTAGATGAGAGGCATCATGACACACTTTCTTCATTTAGGTGGCTGTTTTTGAGATTGACTTTTACCAATCACCTTCTTGATTGCAGTGCGGTGCCCATTTTAAATAGCTTTTATCAAGCTGATGATACATACGGATTGTAATTTTAGGTGTGTAAATTTTTGAGACTCCATGGAAGTTTATCCTTTTCTTTTCACATTTTAAATCCTGCGTATTTAATATTATCTTTTATAAAATGCATTAAACAATGCATTTTATTGGATAGTTATATATGCTTGGAAACTGAATTTTCTGGGCAATAGTTATAACTTATATAATGCCAGTTATTACAGAAAAATCACCCTCCCATATAATCATTTGCATGATAACTAGGCCACATCAGGGAGAAACACCCCCAGCTGAATGACTTCCCTAAGTACTGCTGCAATAACATGAGACTTAGAAATTAGTCAAGTAGTTCACTGCTGTTAAAGAAACCCTGAAACCCTGGGAAGACTGAGACAAGAGATCGCATGCTAGGGTAGGGATGGGCACAAGACTGTACTTGTGGAGTGAAGGCATGAAACTCTGGGGAAGCATGCCTGTCCTCCTGGTGGGGATGGGTTCTTTTCCTCCAGTGCCTCAGTTCAGATGAGGACATTTCCTTTAATCTAACTTCTTTCTCCCACCATCCTCCCAAGTCTTCTCCCTGAGGAAAATATGAGAATCAGGAAACTAAGCTGCTAAGAAAGTTGAATATTATCTATCAATTTCACATTATGAACTACATTAAGTAATGGTTATTCCTCATATGAAAGTGTTACACAGTCTTGAGGCTATCCAGCTACAGTTGGGTAAAGTGTTTACGTCAATATTGTATGCAAACGCCATGAGTAGCATAGTTCCTCTGTAAAGATACCCATCCCAGCTGCAGGCATTGCTCAGTTGTCCATAGAAAAGTTCTTTAGATACATCCTATGCATATTCCTTACTCCTTACAGCAAAGATACCTTGACAGGCTTCTGGGAAAAAATGATTTTGGAGTTTGGTTCCTTGAGGACACATGAAATCTTATTTGTATTTCTATTTCATATTAGGTATAGAAATTATGTACAGTAATTACCTAAGTAGTGATGAATCACACTTTTTACTCATTCACATGTAAAACGTTAGAAACGTCTACAACCACTTCAGGATCATAAGATAATCTAAAGTACATAAGGTTTATTTTATATATATATCAAATAAATTTACCATCTAGTGTTGATATCAATCAACTTCCATAACAATATTGTTAAATTGTAAAGGTGATCTAAAGGAATTGTGCTTGTGATTACAGGTTTGGTTACAAAAATACGGCTACCTTCCACCGACTGATCCCAGAATGTCCGTGCTGCGTTCTGCAGAGACCATGCAATCGGCCCTAGCTGCCATGCAACAATTCTACGGCATTAACATGACGGGAAAAGTGGACAGAAACACAATTGAGTAAGTAACGTCCTCCAAGTTCCTTCTCTCATGGACTCTTGAGCCCAGATAAATAGTCGACAAAACTACGCAGACTTCAACAACCCCTATTGATATGTTTTGCTTTTATAAACTTTTCTTTGGAATGTATCCTATTTCCAACCCCAGTCTTTTGAGGCTTTTCTTAATCATGCATACACAATGTCAGGTTGCTAACATTGTTTTAACAACACAGTTTGAATCAGGAAAGAAAATATGAGCAAGAGACAAAGTAAATGCATATTTTAAGACAGTGTATGAAGTGGCAATTAGTGTTACCTGCTTTGTGTGGTTTGTGAGAGTTTCTGTTCACATCTCTGCAAAATATTACCTTGTTTGCAGCTTCACGTTGGATGGGATAGGATGCATGCTTAAACACAGTTGACGAGAGAAACAGTATAAATAATGTTCTTATATTGTGCTGGTAGGGAAAATTCAAAACTGGGCCATTGAAAGTTTGCTAGGTACCTATTGTGACAGCAATCTAAAAGAGAAACATTAAATACTATTTTTCACTGGAAAGAGTTTGCTCATGCCTTGTAATAACAGCTATTAATTTGGTGCTTTATCCATTATTCCTTCATCTATTGATTAAAAAAGTGGTTCTTCAGGTATCCACTTTGTGAAAGGCTACAAGAACAAATTTATTACCTCTTTGGTAATGTAACTTTGTGTGTTCACAGCATGCAGTGGCGTAGTATTTTGGACAGAGGCTCCTAGAAGGTTGTGTAATATCATGAAGCATAATTAATGGTCCTCTACTACAAAGGAGGGATTGATTTTTTTCCTCTGTACGCAGGCAAAACTCTTTGTGTTCTTAGCACTCCGACACTCACAAAGTGAATATATCCCTGTTACTTGATGATCATGCATTAAACATCACAAAAGAGAAAATACTATTTTCTCTCTATTTTCCAGGATAAAGAGAGGACTATCAGAGGCCAAATGAAGTATAGGGAAATTGCACAACTCGGGCATTTTGGCATCAAGCTTGGGAGGCTTCCTTCTGGATATGTCAAAAATATCATTCATTTTTCTTTGTAAAAATGAAACAAATTCTGACCCATCACATTTAATCTGAAATTCTATTTCTTTTGTAATGGTCACTTAAGACTGTTGGTCATCGTATCTCTGTATCACCAAGATAGGAGCTCATAGGATTGAAACTTTAAAATTAAACTTCAAAGTAGGTTTTAAAAATTAAGATCTTAAGTCCCTGAGGTTTTAAATAGATGTATAAGTACTGGCTAGTCCAGACCTTAGGAAATGAAAATCAATGAAAAATTAACAACATTCTGCAACAGTTAGAAGCCTCATATCAATATTGGGGATAGAATTTCAAAATCCCAGCCCTGAGTACCTCTAGTCATTGTAAGTACCTATTCATAGAGACACATCGGAATCAGACATTTTTCTTCATACTATAAGTATCTGTTATCACTAATAAATGTAGGCTTTGATAATAAGGAAAAACCAGTTCTGGCATTTAGTTTCTGACCTAATCTCCCTGCTCTTCATATTATTAACCCTTTTTGATTTTGTCTCTCCCCATTCTCTTCCATGAAGCCCCTCTTTTGCTCTAGATTGCTTGTCCTTAAACCTTATTGTTGCTACAACTAAAAGCCCCATGACTTCATTTTCCTGCTGTCTATTTTTTTCAATGAAATAATTAATACTGAGGTGTTATGTCTCCTCATATCAAATACTTTGAAGTATAAGCCCTCTAATCATGCTTTAAAAGCATTGCTCTGTGCTTTCTTTAATTCAAATTAACATATAAGGATAATCATGCTGAAACTGCAGGATGATAAGTTATGATGGTCCACACTTATAATATAAGAATATAGAAGTGGAGGCAGGGTGATTGACACAAATGTGACACCATTTTGGCTTGCACAGTGAGTTTCATTAAATACTGATGCAAGAGTGAAGCCTTCTCACGAAAAACTGTGCTGGGGAGATGGCACCTTAGTTAGGGGTGTTTGCTGCTTGTCTTAGGTACATTTCAACTATTGTTACAACACACCATGACTAAGGCAACTTATAAAAGAGTTTATTGGACGGTATGGTTTCAATGGTGAGTCCATGGCTGTCAGAGAGAAAGTACCCCTGGAGTTTGAGTTACAGTCAGTTGTCAACTGCTCGATCTGGGTGCTAAGAACTGAACTCAGTTCCTCTACAAGAACTGTAAATATCCACAACCCTGGTCATTCTAGCCCTTCATCTGATTTTAAATTAAAAAAAATCCTCCCCCTCCTTTGGCAAACAGACATATGGTACAGTTGAGCTATAATTCTCAGGCAATTAAAGTGATTATTCTAATTGCAGTAATCCTTGTATTATGTTAAAGTAATTAACCACGTCTAAGTAACAAATTTGGTAATGCTTTGAATAGAATATTTTATTACTTTTTTGTTCATTAGAACTGACATTAGAAAGATAGTAGTGTTTATTCTCCACCAAAAACTAAATCCATTGTCTAATAGTATATTAATTCTTTTAAATGATAAGTTGGCTAACTAATTCATTATTTAAACAAGCTCATTTAAATTCCTTAATGAATAGACAATGCTATCGCAGGCATAAAATATATTTTAGCAAGTTGAGAAATTCAAGCTCGTTATGTAGGGCATGCCTGATTTTTGTTTCCTAATTTTAAATGTAACTTGTGGGGGTTCTTTTTTAATGGATATATAGCAGTATATAGCAAAGAATTCATGATGAGAGGGTTATCTCTTACAGGGCTTACTATTCTCTCTACTTTCATAGATGTACCACGTATGTGTGCATATTTGAGTAGTTCTGATTATCTGAATAATGACTCATAGATTAGTCAACAGATGCTAATATGTTTTATTTGAACCATTTTAGCTCTAAGTAGCATTTCTAAAAACTTACTATGGCCGTGCGGTGGTGGCGCACGCCTTTAATCCCAGCACTCGGGAGGCAGAGGCAGGCGGATCTCTGTGAGTTCGAGACCAGCCTGGTCTACAAGAGCTAGAGGCACCAAAACCACAGAGAAACCCTGTCTCGAAAAAAAAAAAAAAAAAAAAAACCTAAAAACTTACTATGAAAATGGGAAGTGAAGATTTCCTCTAGGTTACATACTTCTCAACAGTGGATTCTATATAGAAATTTCAAGGAACTTCTTTCTGTAGTTATCTCAAAGTACACTGGAGGAAGTAAATGCACTGAAAATTTTGTGTAGTACCACATTGTGTTAACTGTTTCTGAAAATGTATGGCATCTATTTAGTTTAAATTGTAAGGACATTGAACATGGGCCCTATCACTCTATGGGTTGCTGTCTGCTTTCCCTTTGAAATTATTAAGAAGAGTTGCTGAAAAATACCCACTTTTTTCAGTTGGATGAAGAAGCCTCGGTGCGGTGTCCCGGACCAGACAAGAGGCAGCTCCAAATTCAACGTTCGTCGAAAGCGCTACGCACTGACTGGTCAGAAGTGGCAGCACAGGCATATCACTTACAGGTGCAAGCCCCCACCCCTACCCCCAGCCTTGTTTCTTTCCAGTGCTTTCTCATTCCCTTTGATACGTGTTATTTTACGAAGATGGACTACGTGTCTGTAATCAGTGACATATTGCCCTTTGAAAGGTATTTATAGTTGAAAAAAATAAGCAAGTAGCATAACTTTTAATTCTATCTTTTATTCAAAATGCTTTTGAAATAACTGATAACACTGAAAACACTTGGCTTTTGTTTGTGCATTTGGTTTTTGCTGTGGTATTTACTGAACTTGATATCAGAATGACAAACAACATAATGTTACCACTACTTCATTGGAAATTTTATGTTTTTTTTTTTTAAACCCACTGAACTACCAATACTTTAAGGGTTCCACTTTGATCAAAGAACAGTGCTCAGACCCTGGAGAACAACAAATAAAACATGAGCACTCTGTGTGTCCTTAGGGAATATATATCGGTGGGGAGACTAGCAATTCTATAAATGTCATGTCTGTATGAAAAGGAAGAAACAAAACATGCCCACCCAACATCAGGACTGGCCTAGCCATTCTAGAAAATCAGGGGGTCTTTTTAATGAAATGCCTCTTCTTAGACAAGGCTCATAAGAATATTTGAAACAACTTGTTGAACCAATGGATAGGAGATGGAAGACACTGCATGGAGAGGGTATGCCAAAAATACTTCAATCAAATTATATGATGAGGAGAGGAAATTATAATTCTTGCTATTTTCACAAATAGGCCTTAATGAAGTGTTTAAAGGCAGCATTGAAATGATTTGGTTTGGTTTTCTCTATATACAACTAGAATACGGCATTTGTACTTATTTTGATTATTTAGAGGTCTAACCTAAATCAGAGTTATAATCTCATATTGTCCTTTCAGATAAAATAACACTAGATAATTGTTTTATGGAAATTATGTCAGCTACTCTTCAGATAAATTAAAGACAAAATAACCTTGGCTCTTCCCATGAAGCTAGTATTCACCGTCATTTAAATTTTTCTGTGGGTTATTCATTTAGTTATAGAAACATTCCATACCACTTACACTATCTGTGCTTTCAAAAGAAAGTTAAATATTATTCCCGGAAATCAGTATGGAATAATGCTTCTATCTCCCCAGCAACAGCAATATTCATGCCCGCTGTCCTTCTTTTTCCCGTGAGCTCCATTATCAAGTAGAGCTTAGTAAAGAGGTAGGAGACTGTGTGTATACGTTAGCCAAGACTGAGAGCAATTCTGTTCCTGGTTTGGTGACATAGAAGTAGTTAGAAACTTAATAGACCACTATAAAATGAAGGGTTTGAAAAATTAAAATTACTGTCACTTATACTTTGCACTTCTCTCCATAAAGCCTAGCATAATTCTAAACAATTACAAAATAATAAAAATTATAGCCATCTTAAACAATTATAGGCTTTCATCTTCATAACAGTTTTAGACCAATGAATCTTGAACAGCACAGTTTCCGCTGTCAGGAATATTTTCCTTAGTGTGGCACATTTGCAAATCTGATCGATCATCCAGAATCACTCTGTATTGCTGATGGAGAACCATCAGTTACATTACCGTTCACTCTGTCTGGTTCGATTCACTTGGCTGGCATATGAAGTCATGTGTCTATGTCTAAAATATTATACATGTAGCGTCACTGCCCTAAAAAGCCCATGTCTTACCAATTTATTCCATCTCTTTTCTCTCTAAACCCTCAGTAATTACTGCTTTTTTTAAAAAAAAAAAAATGATGTGAGCATTGTTTTGTTTTGGTATGGTTTGGGGTTTTTTTGAGAGGGTTTCTTGGTTTTGCTTTGGAGCATGTCCTGAAACTAGATTTTGTAGACTACGCTGGCCTCAATCTCACAGAGATCCTCCTGCTTCTGCCTTCTGAGTGCTGGGATTAGAGATTGCACGTCACCATCTGGAGGCTTAATTATCTTTAGTCACAGTCCATTGAAGGAAGTAAAGCATAGGAACTCAAATCTGATGGGTCGTGGATGCAGGAACTGATACAGAGCACACAGAGGAGGGCTGCTTGCTGGCAAGCTCCCTCTGTCTCCTTCAGGCTGCTTTCTTATAGAGCTCCAGGCCAAATTCCCAGGATTCATGCCAGGGCTGGGCCTTCCCAGCCAATTAAGCTGCTAATTAAGAACCTGCCTAACAGGTTTCCTTAGAACTGGATCTTATGAGGCATTTTCTCTATTAAAAGTCCCTCTCACCAAAAGCTTCTGGCTCGTCAAATGGACTTAAAAGTAACTAGGACACAGTGGCGGGATTCTCATTGTTCATGGAGATATAATACTTGAATGATTTCTTTAATGAAATAAAATATTCAGCATCATCTGCACTTACATGCTATCGGAATATCTTCTTTGGTGAAGTGTCTCCTCAGATTTTCTGGTTAATAACTACATGGTTTTCTTGTTTAAGAAACTTACCAGTTTTTCTCTGAGTCTTTAATAAGTTATACCTTCAACCATTTTCTCTTGTTTAGTGATCTGCCTTCCACTGTCTTTGTGATCTTTTTAAGAGCAGTTGTTTGAATTCTAATAATGCCCAACTCATTCACTTCCTTTGTTGTTATTTGTAGTGTCTCAAAAATACTTCATCATGATTGGCTTAGGAAGGTGGCTAGACGCTGATGGTGAAATATTGACTTCTTGTTGTTGGTTGTGTATTCTGAGTGAGGAATCTAGATAAGTCCTCATTCTGCAGGAAACCCTTCCAAATAGCATGTCTTTAGCAGTATTGTAGTTCCATAGTGTATAAAGGGGATAAATGGTTACTAGTAATTTAATTTGCACAAGATTAAGAATGATGCCTTCACTTGGCGAGCCTCTGCTGCATCAAGATGGGAAATGAGTTCTAACAGGCTTTGATGCCTCCAAGGAGATACTTCCTCTTTCTCAAAACGTAACCTAGGACAGTATGCTGAATGATGGAAAAGGTGTGCTCAAACCGACAACCATCCTTGAGCAGGCAGAAAGCAGTTTCTTCTACGCATCCTTTCACTAATCTTAAATTTAGTTGTGTGTTTCCCCTCAAAAATGCATCCTGTCTCTACTGGCACCAGCTGATCTTAGTTCCACCATCTTCCATCAGGGGGTTTGCAAAAGTTCTTAAAATCGTCCATTTCAGCATTTTCTCTGCCACCTTATACGTTCCTCATTGTGAATCAAGTCATTTATTTATGGCAGCAGACCAACATCTAAGAGTCATTCCTAACACTCCATTTGTTCTTCCTCCACTTAAAGCAACAAATACGATGTAAAGGTAGAGGGCATTGGTGAAAAGATAATATTCATAAATTATGAAGCAAAATGACTTTAATGCTACATAAAAGGTTCTCTCAATAGTTCATGCTAGAGATTTGTTCTGAAAGTTAAACATTCACCTCATTTATGAGAATAATTAATAAAATTAATTCGAAAGCCTTTTACCACTTGCAGCTTCCTGGATCACTCCTTGCTTCCCAACTTTGCTCTGCTCTTTTGTATAGAATAAATAATATTTATCGACATATTAAAATGTAAATAAGGCCTCGACTATGTATTATAAAGGAAAAGGAAGCTCATTTTTAGATGTATGGGGTATACAGAATCCACAACAATGGATGCTCAGGGTATTGAGGAAAATGCTCCTCTGAGCATTTTCGTCTCTCTCATAGGAAAAGTTCCTTTAAATTCTTGCAAATTCTCACATTTTTGTGAGATATGTATCATTATTCACCTCCATGTATTGTTGGTGGGATGAAATAAGGTTTATTCTCTATTTGTCACACTCACAATGCCCAAGTAAGGTCATTATTATTATGGCATGTGTAATGATTATAAACAATTTAGTTATATATAATCAGAATGTTACCTTTTCTACTAGAAAGTACATCATAAAAAGTTTTTGATGTTGAGAAATAAATCTGAAAAAGAGAGACAAATTTTAGTCCACTATTAGCAATGGCATGCAGTTTAATGGCATATTTTGGCTACATCACTATCATTGTAGATTGCAGCTTTGACAATCACCTCTGATGACTGTACAGCAAGCTATATTCCGTTGAACATCCTAGCACTTTTTATATGAAAGATTTTACTTTAGGTAATCTTATGTGGAGAATATTACTGATTGAAAGGATTTAAAACCTTTGAACCTTATAGTATTCATCTGTTAATTTTAAACTGTAGCTGCATTCTGTACCATAAAATTATATAAACAAGTTTCATATATGTTGTATTTTAGAGAAATTATGAGGAAATTATATATATATACATACATATGTATGTATATATATGAGTAGAGTTAAATGAATCAAAAATAGTAATTTGCCTCATCAACTTATATTAATGTTAGACCAGGGTGAAGCTAATAATGTCTAGATAACATTTTCATTTACTCCTGGTTCCATTTAAATTCACAAAATGTGTAAATCTTTGTTGTAAGTAGCTATTTTAGTTACTTTTTTTTTTTAACTGAAAAGGCTCAGTTAAGCAGAGCAGAATATCAGATACCACAATAACTGGGCCTTTGTTAACAAAATTAAAACTTGCTTCATGCTGAGTTTGTTTTCACAGATCTACAGATAAAGATATTATTTGATTGGCTAATTACAGTGATATACTTCTTCAATGATGGAAATAAAAAGGAAGTTGGTATTTTTGTTTCAGCTCAAAGCTCCTGCACCTGTTTGATCACTTAGAAAACTGGTTGATCTGTCATCCTACCTTCCACTACCCATCCTATGCAGATCTTCTCCCTAATAGCCTTGGCTCATAAATGCCCCCTTGATGATAATGAAATAGCTGGTGTAATGAACAATGTCTATAAAGTCACTAAAAATGAATGAATTCTATTGCTCTATAATACAGCCATTTTCATTCATAATTTTGAACTAAAGAGGTGAAAAAAATTACAGTAGTTTAAATTACACCCAAGAAGCCACACTGATCATTGTTTTTTCCAACTTTCAGTATAAAGAACGTAACTCCAAAAGTTGGAGACCCTGAGACCAGGAGAGCAATTCGCCGTGCCTTTGATGTGTGGCAGAATGTAACTCCATTAACATTTGAAGAAGTTCCCTACAGTGAACTAGAAAATGGCAAACGTGATGTGGATATAACCATCATTTTTGCATCTGGTTTTCATGGAGACAGTTCCCCCTTTGATGGGGAGGGAGGATTTTTGGCACATGCCTATTTCCCGGGACCAGGAATTGGAGGAGATACTCATTTTGATTCTGATGAGCCGTGGACACTGGGAAATCCCAATCACGATGGTAAGTGCATCATTTCTTTCCAAGTTTAATGATCTCCATTTTATTTTAAGATGCTCAAGTAATTTTTAATTGATAAAATTAAGGCAGAGAGTCTATATATTACTTGCAAAATATAAAAGTAGTGTTTAAGGCTTTTTTAGATTGGGAAAATAATTGATCAAAATCACTACTTTGTTTAGTTATGTATGTGTTCCTTGAAGAATAGATATAAATGTAAACACAAAATTGCATTGCTCTTGCAAATCATCACTTTTAAAAATAATTTATAGTTTATCCTTAAAGTCCTGAAATATTCATCATATACACCTTATGTCATTTCTCCTTGTGCAATATACTCTAACATACATAGTATGCTACACTGTGTATTTTGTATTATCTTCAGTCCTAGTATCACAATTACACTTCTTGTTTATAATTCTTCTCCTTCTCTTTTGTCTTTCATCTATTTAATTGGGTTATGGCATGACAATGTAATTAATTATCTTAATACCATCTATATTGTCTCATAAGCAAATTTCTAATTGCCATCATTATGTTCTGATGGTTAACAGCAGTGTAACAGCTAGAAAATCCAATCCAAGAATGAGTTCTCCTTGTACACAAATGTACATTTTCAGACCAAAGAGTCCGATGATGCTTTAGTGTTCAAATTCTTCATTTTTATAATTCAACCCTGAATAATTTTCCTTCCTTGCTCTTGTAAATGGTGCTCTACTACACGGTGTATTGCTTTTATGGCAACTAATCAGCTAGTAAAACTCTTAATTCTCTTTGATGAGTTAATGTTTGTCATAGAATTAAGTTTTGTTAGTTCATGAAAACATTTAGTAGATGGATTTTGTTAATCACCTTGCTCTTTTTATGATACACAGAGGTTAGTAAAGTCATGAATAGTGTAAATTTGCTAGGGCTAAATTTAAAACTAATCATCAGTTTCAAAGGACAAATCAATCTTAATGTTTACCAAAATAAAATATGTGATACTAACTCGAACTTTCAAGTTAATAGTTCTGTATTTTATAGTATTAAGTTAGTCTTACCTTATTAGTATATTTTCTGAAGCTAATGAGAGAAAGTCATAGAATTTTTATGGAGGAATGAAAAGTCAAAGCTTTAGAGTCAAACATATTTATATTTAAATGTTGGTTAACTGATCATTATCTCAAATAACCTGCAACAAATTTGTTTCAATTTGTACTGTGAAATTTATATTGTAAGCTTTGAACACTGGAAGTCGAAATGTTTTCAATGTATACTGTGTGTAGAATATGTTTTACTTACTTATAACACTCCATTTCTAATACTGAAACATTGGCAGTCACAGTTGAATGTTACCCGTTTCATTCATTTAGTGTGTGTCCTCATAAATTTAAATTATGTAAATATTGCATAAGGATTATGTCTTTCAAGCTGTCTATATTTTCTCTTAAATTACTGAGATCGTCAATAAAAGTAGCACTTAGCTTTAGGTTTCTGCTCTACTAGGTAGTAGGCAGAACATTTATAAATAAACAAGTTTACTGACAAAAGAAAAACAAATGAGGATTTGATTATACAGGAAAGAAAAATGTTTACACTAATCTGACTGGGACCAGTACTATAAATGCTTATGTGTTTCATTTGATTTAAAAAGTTTTCCAAGGAATGTGTCAGTGGAAAAAAAATCTCAAATATAGCATGACCTAATACTTGTAGCTAGGTCAAGACATGTTTGACCAGATGTTTTCAAGAATACATCTATTTTTCTTAATTTGTACTGTGGATTGTAACTTAAAGTATAATCATAATATTCTTGTGATGTAAAGCTCCAGCTGTAATCTTAAGCAATATAATTGATATCTGCTCATAAATTTTGAGGAAAAAAATATCTCTACCAGTCAATTAAGACTCTTGCTCTGGGAAGAATCCTAAAGGAAAAATTTTGCAAAATAACAGTGTTTCAGAATTGCTAGGGATTAAGGGCATGTTAATTGACATCTGAAAATATAATTCCATAACGATTTACTGCTTAATTAAAATTCAGAATCTTAAGCAGCGAGAGCTAGCAGCTAGATGGTGTCAGTCTAGAGTATTGATCGTTTCTTATAAGAGCAGCCTCCAACTTTGCTCGTGGTATTAATAGATGTGAAAAGCATTCATACAGTTTTACATCCTAGTTTCTAAAAGCCAACAAGGTTATCATTTGGTAGCACAGATTAACAAAAGGCACAATTCCGACATCCCTATTGATAAGCTTTGCTTTTCCTATAATTTGGTCCTGAACTACCCTGGCTTGTTTACCTGGGTGGTTTTCTTCCTTTCATCCACAGCTCTTGAGCAGCTAGAAAACACTGCTGCCTGGTTTTGCAGCAAAAATATGCAAATGAAAGAGCCTCTTGATAAGTGCCTTGCTCATTTTGCACAGCATATTACCCCTCTAATGAAAGCAATTTGAATTCTGTCTACCTGAAGAAAGATAAAGACTGTCACAGACTATCAGTAACCACAGATTATTGTTGCCTACTCTTTGACCAATTTGCTTATTGTCATGATGCCTTTTAAAGCTCAAGCTAATTAGCACTAATGGAATTATACCATAATTTTATTAAAACATTTACATATGAATGCATCTTGAATAAAACATGCTGTCATTTTAAAATTTATATTGAGTTTTCATTTGTGAAAAAGTTGAGTATGGACATAGTAATTCTAAACTGAAAATATTTAGCTAGGCAAGGTTTTTAAAAGCATTTATTGCCTTGGTATAATGAGAAAATTTAACTCTAGCAGAATGTTAAAATCTATTTTGAGTAATAACAACTTATTCTTTTCTAAGATATGATATAATAATAAATGTTTAGGTAGAATTGCCCACCTTAAAAAAAAAGCATCACACCCATTGCTTTTGTATAAGCAGGTGTCTAGCACAAGATTTCAAGCCAGTCACCTACGAGAGAAAAAAATAACCATGCCTATAAAATGATATATAAGTATATTCAGAGAATTATCCTGAAACAGGAAGAATTTCATTATGATCTATGTTATAATACTGTTAATATGAAAGTACATTTCAAGGGTCAAGGATGAAATACTTGTCTGACATTAAGAAACCCTGAGATGATGTCCATCACTGTGTGTGTATGTGTGTAGGGGTGTGTGTTGCAGTAACAGATTATTGTTTCTGAGTTCACTGTCTAGTGTAAAGAGACATGCATAAGGTGATCACCACTATCTAACAAATAGGGAGTGGAAATGATATAATAATTTCACTGAAAACCAAACGTTAAAAGTATATTGTTATTAAATATGAAATGAGTAACTTTACCTTAGACCTTAACTTTCATGAGTTTACCTTCTCTTATGAGAATGCCTATGTGGGTGTCTCGATATTGATCTTCATATTGACCACAGAGAGTCATTGAAAAATGGTATAATGGGTCACAGAGAAACATGTTTCTTGCCAGAGGCAAGAACATTAGATCTTCTTGTGCTGCACCAGGCTTTCTGTTCTCCTTCCAGCTACTGCTACTACATAGGGTTTCTCGGGAGACTGCATGTTTTTCCATGCTGATATTTTTTTTTTATTTTTATTTATTTATTAAAGATTTCTGACTCTTCCCCACCACCGCCTCCCATTTCCCTCCCCCTCCCCCAATCAAGTCCCCCCCCTTCATCAGCCCAAAGAGCAATCAAGTTTCCCTGCCCTGTGGGAAGTCCAAGGACCACCCACCTCCATCCAGGTCTAGTAAGGTGAGCATCCAAACTGCCTAGGCTCCCACAAAGCCAGTTCGTGCAGTAGGATCAAAACCCATTGCCATTGTTCTTGAGTTCTCAGTAGTCCTCATTGTCCACTATGTTCAGCGAGTCCGGTTTTATCCCAGGCTTTTTCAGATCCAGGCCAGAGAAGAAAAGTGTCAGGTGACAAGAGAGTACTTTTAAAGATGTTTATCAGTCAGTCCACAGTCTGAGCGATTATTATTTATGTTGTCTGTCTTTAGGTTTCTGTTTATTGAAAAAAGAATTGCTTGACTATATGTTAAATGACCTAAATGAATCCTAACACAGGAGTAGTTACTGAACTTACTGAGATGCAAAATTCTTAAAATAACTTATTGTCACATACATTTTAAACATGTTTTTAGTAAAACATGAAGAGTCTATCTTTAAAGTAATTAGGCATCATATTCAAGAAGGACGTTATTTCTTTATTTACTAGAGTGGCTTCTTCATTCCTAGAATATTACTCATTTTATTATGTTTACTTCATTTTACTAGATCCAATACAAAGTTAAACAAATGTTTGTTGTAGGAAGGCTGCTTGTTTGTTCCTGGCTTCCCAGAACCAAAATAATCAATCACACAGAAGCTGTATTAATTACAACACTGCTCGGCCTATTAGGTTATGCATATTTCTAGCTCACTCTTATCTCTTAAATTATCCCATTTCTATTATTTTATATTTTACCATGAGGCTCATGGCCTACCAGCAAGGTTCGGGCTAGCAACTTGCATCCTTCTGCTCTAGTGGCTCCATGGTATCTCATGACCCTGCCTTTTTTCTTCCAGCAGTCAGTCTAATTTTCCCAGCCTAGCTCTACTTTGCCCTATCAAAGGCCAAGCCAGCTTCTTTGTTAATTAACTAATAAAAGCAACACATGTACAGAAGGTCTTCCCACAGCAAATGTTAGTTTTTAAAAACAATTAAATTCTGTTGCATTATATGATTATCATGTGGTATTAAATTATTTTTTATATTTAGATCTTCATAACCATAAAAATAGCATATGAATTGAAACAATTATATTTGAGAAGTTTTAATTCCTGTCAAAATTAATAAGGTATAGAAATGGTTCTGGGCTTGCCTTATTTCACATACATACACACACACACACACACACATACACACACACAAATACATTGGAGCTTATACTGTATGAGGATTCCATCTTACTTCTTGAAGGTCTTTCATATTATTTACCATTTTCCCATATGCTTTTCTCTACTACTTCCTCTTTGGTTAT